GATCGATAAGACTTATTAAACTATGTTGAAATCTGGAGCAAGAAATAACTTACTTAGTAAGGTCACTCAAGCCTTTCTCGTTAAAATATCAAGCAACCAGTCGTAATTCAGAGAACCTCACGTCATTATTGCATAATGATAGTCGACACAGAGAATCGTGTATGCAATTTAACAACTGTCGGTTGAAAGGACCGACTCATTATATTTCTGTGTTGTTTAATAGCGAGTTGATGTAATTCGCGGCATATCGCTCGCCGCGCTACCGATTTATTAATCTACATTTTTCAGGACTGCAGCCTACGAAGTGCGCATCGCACGAGCATTCATCAGCCAAGAAGAGAGCCAGTACTATCAGATCGCCCGGTAGAAAACGCAATAGCGCCGTAATTGCCCTCGTACGTCAATGACACTGGAAGATCTCGTGCCACTCCTCCTCTTTATTATATACGCGGATGATCATAAACTCACTTTATGTACGCGAGAGCACAATATGACGAATACCTCCTGTGATATCCACAATATGATGTATCTGCATATATTTGGCAAGATTCCGATTCGTAATATAATCATGTATAATTGATAATAAAAATGATTAATTAAAGATATAACATCTATTACAGCACATACAAACAAATTAAATATTGGAACAAAACAAGAACGTTAAAAATATAATATATGCCAACTATATAACTAACACTTTTATTAAAATAGAAATTTGAGATTAAAACTGAGATTCCCAAGATTTAACTCGAACGAACTTGCTATTTAAGAGCGCAAATTTTACTTCTTTCGTTTCAAAGAATATCACGGATGTTCAACAATCTGTCGAACGTTCAACATCGGAGCGTCTTGGAGGGGGAGGGGAGGGGGGGGGGCACTGATTCAGAAGAATAATGATATCTCGCAACGGTCGTGATCCAGATCTAATTTCTCCTCTCGATGGAGAAAAGCTTCTCTCATTACGCGCACAACGCGAAACAGAGATGCGGAGGAGCCGCGCCAACAATTACAAAGGCTAGATATAATACGTGCAAAACACCGATGCTGCGGATCCGTCGTGCAAAATTCTGAATGCTCGAGGATCCTCTTTCCTCGAACCTCTTAGCGCTACTTAGCGGATCCTTTTACGGGACAGCGGGTCCCGACAAGAAAGGAAGGCACGACGTAAGGCTCGACGAAGGGTCGACACAAGAAGAGACGAAAAAGACGAGAATGAACCCAAGGAGGCGCAGGATGAGGTGAAAGAAGAAGGAAGAAGTGGGAAGGCGGAGGTGGAATACCAAAATGGCGGAGTAAGCTGAGGGACAAGATAAGCCTTTGTGTCCGCATGGAGGCCCATGGAGGCCCGGGGCAACGGATCCCGTCGTCTCGGTCTCATATTTCGCGAATCCCGCTATCATATTTTATGCTCGCCCCTTTCCTCGTTCATCCCACCCTTCAACCTTGCCAGAGAGTCTATTCGAGAAAGAGTCCCTAATTTTTTGTTATCTCACTTTTTTGAACTCCCGATTTCCTCCGCCCTTCCTTTTCAGCACGACTCCTCTTTGATGTTGAAGACATTTCATTCGACTGTATTCTTTAATATAACAATTCTCGATATAAACAGTAAATAAGTAATGTAACTCCAACATGTTTTGTTGTCACAATTTTGTGTAAAATATGAGTGCAGGTATTGAATAACTCTCTTAATACTGATACTAAAAAAGGCAATTTTAATTGTCAAATTTTACTATTAAGATTTTACTGTAGTACTGCAAATAAATAGTAAATAATAAATTATCTTCGGATATTAAATATGAAAACGGTTATATTGCTCAATAAAAACACTTGGTTGAAGATAAAGAATATTATAATGAGACAAGTTTCCTTAATTAGACGATATCTTCCGACAATTCATCCCACAAATTAATCACCCTCAGCAATTCACAACAAAGATGATAAAGGATTTCTTTTCACCAAAAATTGCATGAATTGTAAATCGATGTTATTAATTAACGCAAAAAGAATATGAGAATAAAGCGGGGAATGTATAAGGCATAAGAAAATCAACCAGAGTCCTTTAGTTCATGGAAAGGAAGGAAACAAACGATTTTAATTGATTCATTTTCTTATGCATTATGCGTTATGTAAGAGTCTGTGCTCCTCTTGCTTAAGAAAAAAAAAAAAAAAACAAAAAGCATTCAAACGTTCATAATTAATCATCGCTACTTTGGCATCTCGACTTCTCATTCATCGCGTTAAAAATCTCCGTTTGTCGCACCGCGGGATGCGCGAGGCACTCGCGTTGTTACAATTACTGCCAACTACTGCTAAACAATTGCCATTGGCATCAGAAGAGATATTTAATTTCTGTGTAAAATTGATCTTGACCTTTTCCACATTAAAAATCGCAGAATTAAAAAGAAGAGAAATGCTTTGCCAGCAAATGGAATTATGGATTATTTATCTTCTAACGCTTTACCGTTTTAAAAAACTGAGCCTATGTAACAATAGACAGTCATTTTATACTACATTGTATTATCAGTATATTTGCAATTCGTATCTAATATTTAAAGTTGATTGAAAGATAGTACATATATATAAATAAAATTATAATTTCGTAGAATCATATTGTACATTTTATAATTAAAGTGCTTTCGCTTGAAACTTTAGCTAGCAACAATAAATTAGTTTGATTTTTATGCTTTTCCAATCTACATACAATGTAACTACAAAAACTTACAGTATTAAAAGAATTTCAATTTAACGACGTTCATCTTTGATTATTATTTAATCCACGAATATTTATGTCCTCCAATAATCACCAGTGATTATCTTAAAAAGGGAATTCGTACTTGTAATCGTAAATAAATGTGGACTTGAGAAAATCAGAGACCTCCTCCGCCGTTTGTACGATTCCATGATCTCGATGATAACGTGCATCCGCTATCGATTATATCGATTATCGATATCGTGCGATCTCTCGCGGCTTTACGTTCGAGTCCCTTGAAGAGACTGATCTCTTAACGGATCGAGAGATAGATCGCGTTCCACCAGTCAAACAATTAAGGCTGACTTACGGCGGCGCGCCGATGTTAAAACAGCAAACGAGTTGCCGGTCGCTGCCCTTCCGCCACAGCTCTTGTGTATCAGATAATGCGGCGCACTGTCATCTCGGAAGAATTTACAGACGACATAGTGCGGGCCTTGGGTCGGAGCCCGAGGTCCTCCGTGCTACGTCAGCTACGTCAGCTACGTGGCGCGGCGGCAACCGGCCGCCTATCGCGCGCGGCGGATCGCGTCTTTTCGCGCGTCTCACATCTCGCATCTCGCATCTCCTCAATTTCCCGCGAAAATGCAACTCAGTCTTACGCTCGTTTCAAATTGCTATCAATGTACTCTCTAAATTTCTTGGACTGAAATCTCACTTTTTTGGAGTGAACAGTCACTCCAAATATTCATGAAAATACCACCAAAGTGGAACGAAATTTCATTTTTCAAAAGAGTGAAATTGTTCGGTCCTCGTTTGGATTTATTTTTCAATTTTAAAAAGAGTGGCTTTTCTCGGGGGGAAGATGTTTTGTAACTTAATCATAAAGTTCGCAGGCATTTTTTGACTAAGTCTTGAAATCTCTAAGTACTTTTCTGTACAGGAATACAAACATATTAAAGATTAAAGAAGATATGAATTTCGATTTATTACATTTTATTAACGTTTTCAATAGGAATTAATTTTCTTTTATTATCCTAAAGTACTTATACAAAATATCTTAACCTTCGTATCCTTTTGATTTCTATCTTATGTATGTACAAATGTATAAACAGGCTTACCTCTGATAGATTCATTCCCGAGTTTGTCGAACACTTGACATTGTTCATACACTCAAAACAACTAGATACAATTAATAATCGCAATTATAAACGGCATTTGTACGAGAACAAGAATTGAGAAGACTTAAGCATGATTTGGCGAGATTTCTGCACTTTAAGTTGAAGTGAAGTTTAGAGCACTAACAATTTCACTTCAAAAATAAGAATGAAACTTTTCATTTTTTGTCTTAGTGTGAAAGAATTTATGTTATTAAAGTGAATACTTCCTCCAGAGTGAATTGGTCAATGACTCCAGGATTAGAGTGAAAATTTCACTCCAAAAAATTTAGAGAGTAGATTAACTTTAATCTCAGTTGAACTTACTCTTCATTTATTTTTTAATTCTTAGAATTAGAAGATGGAGAGTCAGTCGAACCGACATTAAAATTAAATTGATAGAAACAGGCGTTAGTTGCAAAAATATTGGCACCTTGAAATAAAAACTATTAATCCATCTTTATAAACTTTGAAACTTAACTGAAAAAGCGAATTTGAGTCTCATTCTAGACAATTCAAATTAACAAGAAGCTTTCTTAATCTTTTTGTTACTATTAATATTGTTAAGTTTCAACTAAGGTTCAAAATTGATTATCTACACTTTTAGCTGATTATTTATCGAGGTAATGATGCGACTATTATCATATAAGGAAAGATAAACTTTCCAACGGAAGGAACTACTTCACTTTTGTAAGAAATGTCTCACGCGAAAACATAAAAATGCATCGTCGTTTCGAACGACAGGACCGCGAAAATAAATGATCCATGTTCGGGAGGGAAGCGAGCACTTCCGAAAATAATTACAACTTTCACGACAAACTTCACATGAAACGATCAAAAAGCATGCGAAACGAAATATGTGTAACATGGTGATCGATATATGTATACAAGTTATACTTGCGCGAAACGTAAACGGTACAAAAAGAAATTGCCATCATAAAAGCGACCGAAGTGTGTTTCCAAACGCGACGCGTCACGTTCATGGTCACGCGAGGAAGTGAAGGGAATTATGCGGTGTCCCTTTTGGGATATGCAGGACGTGCGAAGAGATGTATCGCTGCTCTCGAGAGAGAAAAGTGCGGGACGCGACGTCAAAGGGACACGTAATTATCCGCAAATACCGTGAGATGAATTATAGAGAGCGACGTACTTACCAGGCATGCAGACGCATCGAAAGGTCCCAGGATCGTCCAGACAGGAACCGTCATTCTGACACGGATGCGACTCGCACTCGTTCACATTCGTCTCGCATCGCGGACCCGTGAATCCTTGCGTGCAATTGCAGGCGAAGGATCCGGGCGTGTTCACGCAAATACCATCGTGCTCGCAAGGAGAACCTGCAATAAGTAAGAAAAGAAAGGATGTCAATTTAAGGACAATCGAAATATATTTAAAAATTGAAAATACAAATACTAGATTATTTAAAATTTATTTAATAATTATTTAATATTTTAACAATATTAATTAATTTGATAAGAGAAGTAATTTCGGGTTTTCAAGTTACATAAAGTGAAAAAAGGAAAAAAAGAAATATTTAACGCAACGCAAAAATTTTATACAATCATTTAGCGATCATTTAACACTTAATACAAAGCAGAACTCTATGACACATTCCGTTCTACTTCTATATATATGGTGGATAATTGACGCCATGAAATTCCAAAGGAAGCCGCGTCACTATCCTCCAGGGGGTTCTTCGGTGAAAGTTCATCCGGTTTCGGTATTGGGAGAGAATTTACGCGTTACCATTTTGAGTGAAACTTTTTCCCGTTTCTTTTGCGGTGCAGAGAAAAGGAAAGGCGGCACGCGAATAAAATACTGGGACGATTTTTCGTGTCGATCGTTCTTACTGATGATTTAAATCACTCGTGGCAAAATGGTGCGCACGGCTCGCATAATAATTAATATCTGAATATGGCTTTAAGAGTCAACTCGATTTAGTGCATTTCTACCGCTGGACCAACCACAATCGTGTATTGCGGATAGTGTTTCTTAATTGGCAAACTCGCCGGCACTTTTTAGATGCCGCCATTAGAACGGGAGAAGAGAGAAGAGAACACTTCCTATACCCGGCTAACTCGACCATAAGAAGGATGCTGGTAGAGCATTCTTGAAGCACTGACGACGACAATTCGTTTAAAGGAGGAGATCGCGTTTTGCCCGCGGAATCCTCTTTTCTCGGAGATACGTAGCCCTCTCTAATTGCAATGAGATAATTGCTACGAGCATAGTTGTGCCTACTCGGTGCGTCTTACCAAATGAGAGCTTCATTAGAAATCTTCTCTTTCTATTTTTCTCTTTTCTATATAATGGAATTTACACTTCTGTTGTATGAAATTCATTTTACTTACGATGTTGTACATTATTTATATGAATAGAATTTTTTAATTTATATTAATAATGATTATCTATATATATATATATATATGATTTTTATTTTACAAAAATATTGACGTTGCCACAGAAATAATAATAGTGTATTATACATATTATTATATACAGGGTGTATCTGAAATAACGCTCACTAATCATACAGTGCTATTCCTAATAAAAAACTGAGTCGACAAGTTCTCTACTATTTTACAATTGTCGCAATATTTTTTTTTATCCAATGAGCCAATAAGTCTAAAATCGATGTGTAAAACAACTTTAAGATATCTTTAAGAATTCTTTAAAAAACATCTTCAAAATATTTCACAAAGAACACTGAGAATATAAAGGTAAAATATCTTAAAATTGCCTTATATATATATTTTATCTGTTTATTTTATCTGTTTATTCGGCAATGTTTATAAATTAATGTCTCGTTAACTATTGCGAAAATTGCAAAATGGTCGAGGACTCAATTTTTTATTAGGAATAGCACTGTATGATTAGTGGACGTTATTTCAGATACATCCTGTATGTACAATTTATATTATTAAATAACATTAATATTTTTAAGACATATATATTATACAACAGACTAAAATAAGGACAAATGAAATAGATACAAAGATATAGATAAATGTATATACAGATTCATGTATAGAGTGTGTATTTATTGTTATATAGCTCTCTCTCTCTCTCTTTCTCTCATTTTGCCAAACATAAAATCAAAGTCAATTAGATTTTTCAAGTAATTTCATTCTAGTTCGAGGAGCAACGCACGCGATTAATAGCAAGTGCCGCGACATATATCAGCTTTTCTTATCAGTATAGTTGTACGCACGAGTTTGTAAAGAGGCGTTTATTTTTGCCACGGTCGCATACCGCACTCGTGTATTTCGCCAATGGTTTTTCCGACCGCAATGGTGTAATTGTCGTCGCGTAACGGAGGGCGATGAAAGGGAGAACTGAGAGAAATGGTGCGAGAGAGGAAGAAACGTACGTTTACTCGCGACAGTAAGAAATGCATTGCTGCACCGTGTTCACCATCGAATGACGTGACAGTAGGAGAAATGACGAATCGTTCTCCGAGAATGTCACGTACCATACTCGCGAGAGCTACAGAATTAGCGTTAAATGCCATCACGTGTATGTAGGTGCTCGAAAGCAGCGAGAGATTCATTCACTGAACCATCAACATTTGCAATTATATTATTTCGTTATAGTCGCCATCGAAATAACTCGAGTCTTTTTACGGTATGTTTCGTATTAATATAATACATTTTGCAGATAATTTTAATTTTGCGTTATGACTTTCAGTGATAAATAAAATATTTTCAATTGTAAAATATACATTTTTAAATAGAATTAATTACAAAAGATTGGCTGAATATGGCATTTTTCGAAAGGCTAACGTAACCAAAAATTGGCTGTACCAATAAAAAATGCTGTGACACATTTTGCCATCAAATTGCTGCCAATCTTTTCTTTCAACGTATATATATACACATACATATATATATATACACACTGAGAAAAAAATATAGTTAATTTTAATAAATATTCAGTTCAATACTGCCAACTAAAAATTTACTTACAGTAAATAAATAAAAAAAAATGATTGTTAAATCAAATTAACATTTCTTGTATCAAATAAATATATCTTTATATTGAATAAATATTCAGTTGGCAGTATTCGACTAAATATTTATTAAAATTGACTATATTTTTTTTCAGTGTAGAATTTTTCTCCTCGTTTCTATTTTATATAAGTTGAATATATTTCTCAGATTCTTCAAAGCAACAACACGGTATAATTGGCCCGGTTACATATGCCGCGAGATACAGTTTGCAATTGGAGTTGCACCGCCACCAGGCAAGATTCCTCGCTTCTCTCGGTTGCATCAAGCTCGGTTGCTCATCCGAAGAGCTTCTTCCTCTCTTGCCGGCAGCGCAGCTCTCCCTTCGCTTAAGGAACTTAATCTACCAGAAAATATGCAATCTGGATAATAACAGAGCCCCAGCTCGGGCGCGAGATCATTATGGTTGTTATTAAACTTAAAATAACAATTTAGCGTTTAATTAGATTCGTTCATGGAGGCCCCGCGCCCCTTCAAGAAAACCGCGCTTCTGTTGTGGACGAACAACGCCGACTCGGGGGTTCACTTCAGCCTCCTTCGCTCCTCCTTCGACGCGACTTCCGGCAAAATCTCATTATACCTGGCGGGCTGTCGTCGCGCGTCAACTACGTCGCCGAATCGCTATTTTCGTGATTTGCGTTTTTTTGCACTGTAACTGCAGCTTTGGTAACGTCGAGACCATTTTAATTTTCTGTGCTTCACATTTTTTAATAATAGACCGCGTAACGTGATTATTAAGTAGTCGATGCACGCGAGAGATAGATTATGTAAGGATAAAAAAAATTAAAAGTTTTATACATACTTGTATATACATACTTATAGTTATAATTATCGAATATGAAAGTCCTTCGTAATTATGGATTCTTTATAAAAATTTAATCAAAGATAAATATTTTATATTTTTTGTATATAAATGTTTTATATATAAATGTAAAAGAGAAAAAGAGAATTTGTAGAACAAATCTTTTAGGAAGACAATTAAGATTATCAATAATAATTTAATATTTTAATATGATAATTTATGCTTGTCGAGAAACAAGACTTTCGATATGATTTATGTAAATATTATTTGTCGGGATTTTTTTCAAATACTATCAATCAAATTTCGATGTAACAATGAGTTTTTGTTTAGTTAACAGGTAGCACGATTTTTTTCCTGGGCAGCAGCCGCTTAATGTCGACACAAAAAAGCAAGCACGAGGAAACAAAAATAAAGAACAACTGTGAAGGAAGGTTTCGTTACGCATTGCTGTATTTACATTTGTTTGCAGTCATTATGCCACTATTATTACATGTATATTATGCTAAACAAAAGAGCGATTGATTCCCAATTCATTTAAAAAAAAAAGAAAAGATATGATACACAATTTTTAAATAAAAGATATACAATGCAGATAAAAAGAAATGCAGCGAATATTCATATATTTACTAAATCAAATTCTTTTTTAATCCGTTTTCAAGAAGAATGTAAAAAAATTTCTGATATCCTAACCGGTGTCATCTTCACACGATGAAGGCTTTCTTCGAAGCAGACTAGCGATGTAATTCAACACCAAACGAGGCTGGCCGTCTTGCTTGTGGTGATCTCGCGTTGTGAAACTTTGTCTGAGATTTTCAGAAATTCAAGGTAAATATTTATAAACTGGTAGAAAGGGGGAAAGCAGGTGGCGTATAAATTATAAACAAAGAAACATTATATTAATCAAGATGAAACAAGATATCATAATTCAGCAAAATAAGTTATATAAAATAATTTTATAAAAAGAGATATGTATACGTGTGTGTGTGTGTGTGTGTGTGTGTGTGTGTGTGTGTGTGTGTGTGTGCGCGCGCGCATCTGTGTGTGTAAATATATAATAAAAATAAATACTTTCTATGTTAGATGTTTTTTAGGTACAAGAAAATAGTGTGTCAAAAATTTGAAATAAACATTTTTAATAGAAAGTATTTGTTTAGGGACATATTATATATTGTTTTTAAAGACACCAAAAAATTTGTGGATTATCGTCGTCTATTGCATTAATAATGAACAAAAACACGGCGATAAACCGCAAACCTTCTGATATTTTTAAAAATAATATGTCCCTAGAAGAATTTCATTTTTGAGCATTAATTAAACTGTCCGTACAATAAGTAGATAATAAAAGGATAATGACTTTAGGCGAGAGTAATTGCAATTATTATATATTGAAATTTGCTTTATTTGTCGACTTAATAAATCTGCTGATTAAATGGACCTTCCCACCTTCCAATCAAAATTCCGCTCCGAAAACTGAAATGATTGAAGGATTATTGTGCGAAGATGAGAGAAAGAACATAAGCAAGAAGAT